TAAAGAAGAAAATAGATGAAAAAGAAAAAAAAGGGAGAAAAATGGAAAGATGTTGCCACACATACACGCACGCACTCATATAACGTGTGTGTGTGTATGTCTACCCAATTCTTCAAATGTAATTACTATAATTAATTGTTATATTTGTTCCATTTCTCTCCTTTATTTTATTAACATCTCTATTTTTAATTTAATTATCTTTTATTATTTAATTATTATATCTCTCATTTTTAAATTTATCGTTTTTATCGTTTTTAGATCTCATAGTAGCCCCTCTCTCCCTATACAAAATCTGCTACGTGAGGAAACATTTCCAGCTGTCCGTGGGAAATCTGTTCGTGTTTTTCGTGAGAAAAAAACGTTTTTTTTTTTTTTTTTTTTTTTTTTTTTTTTTTTTTTTTTTTTAAGAGCCATACGCGAAACTAAGATATTTGTGGAAACATCCAGTCGTGAGAAAAAATAGATCCCCTCAGTTGCAAGTAAATATTTCAACAAGTTTCAACCCTTTTCAATTGCATGAAAACATTATTATTTTTCCCCTATTTTTACACGACATATAAATGGAGTTTCCTTAGTATCTATCCAACTTCCTTCTTTCACACTCGGTTTGAGGAACTGTACAGATGAAACTAGAATTAACAATCAAGGTATACGAACACACACACACAGAGACAGAGGAGAGAGAGGAGAGAGAGAGAGAGGAGACGAGAGAGAGAGAGAGAGAGAGAGAAGAGAGAGAGAGGAGACGAGAGAGAGAGAGAGAGAGGGGGGGAGAGCGAGAGAGAAATAGATAGATAGATAGACAGACAGAGAAAGAGAGAGACGCTGGCAACATCGTCTTCCCACGATCTTGCTGTCTGTATTTGAGAAATCCGTCTGGCGATACCCGTTGACGTAACACACTGGTTGTGCTTCGTCGTCTAAATTTATTTGTATTATTATTGCTTCAATCTTGTGGGTCCTGACTCACCTGCTGACAGTATCTCGGAGGTAATAAGCAATCTAATTAATAGTTATCTATGGCAAGATTTTTTTTTTCCTGTCGGAGTAAACAGCTTTATATTTTTCCTCTGGGACGGGGTCAACAGCTGGGGCAACGCAACATCTACTGACTCTTGATTTCAACAAAGTTCCATGTCAGACGTGATCATGCCTCAGAAATAACTCTGCAACACCATGAGAAGACTGACAACTGACGCCTCTCGGCAAGGGTCGGTGACACCTGCTGCCTCCTGATAGGTGCCTAGGCCTCCAGGTCTCGCTTCCACACCTATATTTAAGCGGCCGAGAATGGAAGTGACTCTCACACTGCCTGAGTCCACAAAGCCTTTCTCTCAGACCTCTTCAGCAAAATGCGTGCCTTCTTCCTTGCTCTGAGTGTGGCGTCCTTCGCCTCCGCTACGATCTTCCAGGATTGCGGTGAGTCCTCAGGTCCTGCTTGGGAGAGGAACCAGAATACTTCGCTTTTGTAAGACGTTAAAGTAGTTTATTTGTGCCAATATGATGCATACGTCCGTTGTATCGTGCCACTGATGGAAAACGGTCGTGTTCCAGGCTCGGTCGGCACCGACGTGGTCCTCACCGTGGAGAACTGCGAGCTGCCTCCGTGTCTGCTGGAACGCGGCTCCACCTACAACGTCAACATCCAGTTCACGTCCAGTAAGTCACGTCATTTCAGTCACATTCATGCGTACAAAAGAAAGGAATAAGTACTTATCACCTTTGTCTACATCAGATGTTTACATATCTAACACCGAGTGACTCAGTGAGGCTCCTCCTATGAAAAAAACACCTGCAAACTCTTAAAATGTTTGTGAATTAACACTCGAGATTTGGAGCAGGCCAGACCTCGGACGCGCTGACCATCGACGCCTCAGCCAACCTGGCCGGCATCAACGTCCCTTGGCCCGGAATAGACACCGACGGATGCAAGCAGCTGGAAGGAGGCTCCAACCCGTGCCCTTACAGCAGCGGGAGTCGCGTCGACTGGACCATGCGGTGGCCGTCCTTAGCGAGTACCCAGCGGTGAGTGCCACGGGGGGAGGGAAGAGGGGAGAGAGAAGAAGAGAGAGGGAGAGAGAGGGGGAGGGGAAAGCAGAGAGGCAAAAGGTGACATCAAAACAGATGAAGGAAAGTGAGTATATAGCCATCCTGCTTGTCCCTATTGAGTTCTGTGTCCCTGACTGACGAGGTCCTGCATCCTCAGCTGTCGACCGTCGTGACGTTCAAGCTGAAGAACGCCGCCGGGGAGCCTGAGGCGTGCACGGTGGTTCCCGTGACCCTCGTGTAGCGTGGCTGCCTGACCCGCCGCCGGGCCTTCTGCAGGACCAGTCGACTCGGGGCCGAGCGCCTCCAGAGCACATGAACACAGTGAACAACTTTCGTTGCCAATAAAGATAATTTGCCATAACCGTTTTTTCTTTCTTTACCAATGCTTAAGACAGAGTGAAGGGAATAGACAAATAATACGAGAAAAAATTTCAGACGATGCATGAATGTATCAAGTATCTTAAAAGACGGATATTAACATAAAGGGATAAATAAGATAAACGTAGAAAATGGAAAAAGATAAACACATAAGTGAAGAGATAAAGGTAAAGCATTTGATGTTGAAATTTCCAGGGAAATCTCTCTCTTCTTCCGCTTCCTCCAAAAGACGCCGTCGATGACCCTCATTTCCTGTCCTCCGTCTCTGCCATGTTTCCATTCGCGAAGCTCTCAGTGTCTGATTTCATGAAGCTGTCATGAAGGACCTGTTAAGCAGTAAAGGATTTTTGGTCATGCCTTTTTATTCACATATAGAAACTCATTTTTAACGGAATGATTACAGCCCAAACCTATAGCAAAAATGTGCGAATTTTAGTCATCTTTGTCGATTTCTGCAATTCGCATTTCCTAATCCACCCCCACCCCCAAGTTTTATATAGATGGCATAAAAACGTGACAGAACAGACCTCTCGGTAGGCACATAACCTTTTCTTTATAATTCCTGTCCTCTTTTGGTTTTTTTCAAATATGAACAATATTTTCGTTGACTACGATGAACTCCATTATGAACCAGATGTTTTCGCTGGGTCTTTAGCTATAGTTGTTTTAAGATTTTCACGGCATAACCATGTTATTATATATATATATATATATATATATATATATATATATATATATATATATAAACATTTTAAGTTGATGCAAGAAATAACAGGTCCTATACCATCAAAATGAGAGAAAACTTTTCCAAAGCAATACATGCATAAATTGAGAGTATTCACATAAAATGAAGTTTTTGGGTTCTTTAAACTGAAAAAACTAGTTTTTATGTTTTTTTTTTTTTGAAAGATGTATGCATATACATATGTTTATACATATATATACGTATGTATATATAGATATGCATATCCATATATATACATACCATATATATATATATATATATATATATATATATATATATATATATATATATATATATATATATTATATATATATAAATATATATATATATATATATATATATATATATATATATATATATATATATATATATAATACATAGCATATATATATATATATTATATATATATATATATATATAATATATATATATATATATGTGTATATATTATATATATATGTGTGTATATTATATATATATATATATATATATATATATATATATATATATATATATATATACATATATATATACATAAATTTATATATATGTATATATATGTATATGTACATATATAGGAACCAAAGAGGAAATATTAAAGGTTTGAAATGTTACTTTTAATATTTCGTCTTCCCGACACCAGCTGCCAAGACTACTTGGCGTGGATGCCTCTAAGCAATCCCTCATCCCGTAATTGCCCGGGCAACAACGACAGCACGACCGCGAGTGTGACCTTGGGGAAGACTCCGGCCATGGCTGCCCAGGCACTTTCTTTGGGATTAAGATCTGGCGATTTGGGCGGATGTGGCACAGTGTCATCTCGTGGAAACCCTTCTCTTTGTGGCGGTTTCGAAGTCTCTCTGCTGCAGTGTGAAGCCAAGTGCCGCCGGATGTTGCCAGCAGAACAGGTGGTTCCGCATCCCTTGCAGCAGTTATGGCCTGTTTCATGAAAATAATGAAAATAAATATATAAGAAAATGAAACTCATTGTTTAGTTTTTAACTTTCTTCTTGTAGCTACTAAAACTTCTACAATATTATTGGGAGACTCAAGATGCTTATAAACACGACCACTGTTTATGCTATCAAAATAATTTAGCAAATTCTACCTACTGCCTTCTCTGTCTTCTAATCTAAGCCTATTCTGAATAGATAAAGTAGTTACATCAAAGGATTTATATTTAGTAGTAATATCCGTTTTTCCTTTGGCATCTTTTACTACAACGAAAGCAAAAGGAAATAAAATGCTAAACCCACCACATTTCGTTCGAAAACCATTTTTTTTGTGATGTAATAATAATATCATAATAATAAAACACTTGGGGTGATACCGTATATAAAGAGGATTTCAATTTTCTCGAAAAAAACTGGATTTTTTCATTTTTTGTTCACACGACCTAGTTTTTTGTGATCTGTTACGTAATCAAAGCGTGTGAGAACCTCCCCATCTGTTGCATGGAGAAACACTGGATGGCAACATCTATCTTAAATAAACTTGATGTGTTTCATATCAACCCTTGTGCTGGCCTTACTGATTGAGGGTGATATTGTGAAAATTTTGCATGTCCTATTTAAGCATTAGCATCTCAACTTTGGGATTTTTAACTAATTCCATTCATATAATGAAAATTGCGACGACAGCAGACTTCCCTGTCAGACGATCACACCCGAGTGATAGCGCTGCAACGCCGTGAGAAGACTGACAGCTGATGCTCTTGGGAAAACGTCTCGGGAAGGGAAGCTGACACCTGCTGCCTTCCGAAAGGGGCCTATGCCTGCTGGAACCGCAAACCCTTATTTAAGCGGCCGAGAAGGAAAGCGACACTCACACTGCCTGATCCACATTCGCCTTCCCCTCAAAGTCCTCCTCAGAAACATGCGTGCCATCCTCCTTGCTCTGAGTGTGGCGTCCTTCGCCTCCGCTACGATCTTCCAGGATTGCGGTGAGTCCTCAGGTCCTGCTTGGGAGAGGAACCAGAATACTTCGCTTTTGTAAGACGTTAAAGTAGTTTATTTGTGCCAATATGATGCATACGTCCGTTGTATGGTGCCACTGATGGAAAACGGTCGTGTTCCAGGCTCGGTCGGCACCGACGTGGTCCTCAACGTGGAGAACTGCGAGCTGCCTCCGTGTCTGCTGGAACGCGGCTCCACCTACAACGTCAACATCCAGTTCACGTCCAGTAAGTCACGTCATTTCAGTCACATCCATGGACACAAAAGAGAATATTATGAATTATCACCTTTGTCTGCGATATGAGATGTTTACATATCTAACACCGAGTGACTCAGTGAGGCTCCTCCCATGAAAAAACACCTGCAAACTCATCAGCCATCGTCGAAAAATATGTTTGTGAATTAACACTCGAGATTTGGAGCAGGCCAGACCTCGGACGCGCTGACCATCGACGCCTCAGCCAACCTGGCCGGCATCAACGTCCCTTGGCCCGGAATAGACACCGACGGATGCAAGCAGCTGGAAGGAGGCTCCAACCCGTGCCCTTACAGCAGCGGGTCGCGTCGACTGGACCATGCCGGTGGCCGTCCTTAGCGAGTACCCAGCGGTGAGTGCCACGGGGGAGGAAGAGGGGAGAATGGGAAGAAGAGAGAGGAGGGTGAGGAGAGAGAGGAAGGGGGGAAAGCAGAGAGGCAAAAGGTGACATCAAAACAGATGGAAAGTGAGTAATAGCCATCCTGCTTGTCCCTATTGAGTTGTGTCCCTGACTGACGAGGTCCTGCATCCTCAGCTGTCGACCGTCGTGACGTTCAAGCTGAAGAACGCCGCCGGGGAGCCTGAGGCGTGCACGGTGGTTCCCGTGACCCTCGTGTAGCGTGGCTGCCTGACCCGCCACCGGGCCTTCTGCAGGACCAGTCGACTCGGGCCGAGCGCCTCCAGAGCACATGAACACAGTGAACAACTTTCGTTACCAATAAAGATAATTTGCCATGACCTTTTTTTCTTTACTCAATGCTTAAGACAGGATGAAGGGAATAGACAAATAATTCGAGAAAATTTCAAACGATGCATGTAATGTATCAAGGATCTTAAAAGACGATATTAACAAAAGGGATAAAATAAATAAACGTAGAAAATGGAAAAAATAAACACGTGTAGAGATAAAGGTAAAGCATTTGATGTTGAAATTTCCACGGAAATCTCTCTCTTCTTCCGCTTCCTCCAAAAGACGCCGTCGATGACCCTCATTTCCTGTCCTCCGTCTCTGCCATGTTTCCATTCGCGAAGCTCTCAGTGTCTGATTTCATGAAGCTGTCATGAAGGAGCTGTTAAGCAGTAAAGGATTTTTGGTCATGTCTTTTTATTTCATCTAATGATTACAGCCCAAACCTATAGCAAAAATGTGCGAATTTTGCAATTTTCGCAATTCGCATTCCCCCCCCCCCCCCTAAGTTTTATATAGATGCATAAAAACGTGACAGAACAGACCTCTCGGTAGGCACATAACCTTTTTTATAATTCCTGTCCTCTTTTGGCATTTTTTTCAAATATGAACAATCTTTGTGTTAACTCGACTACGATGAACTCCATTATGAACTAGAATTACTGGTATAGGGCTATATTTGATTTTCGGGTTTACTTAACTATAGTTGTATTAAGAATTCACAAAATAAATTATTAAAATGTTAAACTATTTTAAGTTGATGCAGGAAATAGACAGGTCCGAAAAAAAGATTGGTTCCGACTCAGATTTTGCGTTTTTAAAAAAAAAAATTTTTTATTTTTTTTGAAAGATGTATGGCATCTATATACATATGATAATGCATATTATATATATATATATATATATATATATATATATATATATATATATATATATATATATTATATATATATATATATATATATATATATATATATATATATATATATATATATATATATATATATATATATATATATATATATATATATATATATATATATATTATATATATATATATATATATATATATTATATATATATATATATATATATATATATATACATATATATATATATATATATATATATATATATTATATATATAATATATATATATATATATATATATATATATATATATATATATATATATATATATATATATATATATATATATATATATATATATATATATATATATATATATATATATATATATATATATATATATATATATATATATATATATATATATATATATATATATATATATATATATACCCACACACATAATTTATATTATATATGTATATATATATGTATATGTACATATATAGGAACCAAAGAAGAAATATTAAAAGTCTTGAAATGTCTATTACTTTTAATATTTCGTCTTACCGACACCAGCTGCCAAGACTACTTGTCGTGGATGCCTCTAAGCAATCCCTCATCCCGTAATTGCCCGGGCAACGACGACAGCACGACCGCGAGTGTGACCTTTGGGGAAGACTCCGGCCATGGCTGCCCAGACACTTTCTTTGGGATTAGGATCGGGCGATTTGGGCGGATGTGGCACAGTGTCATCTCGTGGAAACCCTTCTCTTTGTGGCGGTTTCGAAGTCTCTCTGCTGCAGTGTGAAGCCAAGTCCCGCCGGATGTTGCCAGCAGAACAGGTGGGTTCCGCATCCCTTGCAGCAGTTATGGCCTGTTTCATGAAAATAATGAAAATAAATATATAAGAAAATGAAACTCATTGTTTAGTTTTCAACTTTCTTCTTGTAGCTACTAAAACTTCTACAATATTATTGGGAGACTCAAGATGCTTATAAACACGACCACTGTTTATGCTATCAAAATAATTTAGCAAATTCTACTGGCCTACTGCCTTCTCTGTCTTCTAATCTAAGCCTATTCTGAATAGATAAAGTAGAGTTACATCAAAGGATTTATATTTAGTAGTAATATCCGTTTTTCCTTTGGCATCTTTTACTACAACGAAAGCAAAAGGAAATAAAATGCTAAACCCACCACATTTCGTTCGAAAACCATTTTTTTCTGTGGATGTAATAATAATGATGATAATAATAAAACACTTGGGGTGATACCGTATAAAAGAGGATTTCAATTTTCTCGAAAAAAAACTGGATTTTCCATTTCATTTGTTCACACGACATAGTTTTTTGTGATCTGTTACGTAATCAAAGCATGTGAGAACCTCCCCATCTGTTGCATGGAGAAACACTGGATGGCAACGTCTATTTAAAAAACTTGATGTTTCATATCAACCCCTTGTGCTGGCCTTACTGATTGAGGGTGATATTGTGAAAATTTTGCATGTCCTATTTAAGCATTAGCATCTCAACTTTGGGTTTTTAACTAATTCCATTCATATAATGAAAATGCGACGACAGCAGACTTCCCTGTCAGACGATCACACCCGAGTGATAGCGCTGCAACGCCGTGAGAAGACTGACAGCTGATGCTCTTGGGAAAACGTCTCGGGAAGGGAAGCTGACACCTGCTGCCTTCCGAAGGGGGCCTATGCCTGCTGGAAACGCTTATTTAAGCGGCCGAGAAGGAAAGCGACACTCACACTGCCTGATCCACATTCGCCTTCCCCTCAAAGTCCTCCCCAGAAACATGCGTGCCATCCTCCTTGCTCTGAGTGTGGCGTCCTTCGCCTCCGCTACGATCTTCCAGGATTGCGGTGAGTCCTCAGGTCCTCCTTGGGAGAGGAACCAGAATACTTCGCTTTTGTAAGACGTTAAAGTAGTTTATTTGTGCCAATATGATGCATACGTCCGTTGTATGGTGCCACTGATGGAAAACGGTCGTGTTCCAGGCTCGGTCGGCACCGACGTGGTCCTCAACGTGGAGAACTGCGAGCTGCCTCCGTGTCTGCTGGAACGCGGCTCCACCTACGACGTCAACATCCAGTTCACGTCCAGTAAGTCACGTCATTTCAGTCACATTCATGCGGACAAAAGAAAAGAATAAGTACTTATCACCTTTGTCTACATCAGATGTTTACATATCTAACACCGAGTGACTCAGTGAGGCTCCTCCTATGAAAAAAACACCTGCAAACTCTTAAAATGTTTGTGAATTAACACTCGAGATTTGGAGCAGGCCAGACCTCGGACGCGCTGACCATCGACGCCTCAGCCAACCTGGCCGGCATCAACGTCCCTTGGCCCGGAATAGACACCGACGGATGCAAGCAGCTGGAAGGAGGCTCCAACCCGTGCCCTTACAGCAGCGGGAGTCGCGTCGACTGGACCATGCCGGTGGCCGTCCTTAGCGAGTACCCAGCGGTGAGTGCCACGGGGGAGGGGAAGAGGGAGAGAGGGAAGAAGAGAGAGGAGGGTGAGGAGAGAGGGGGAGGGGGGGGAAAGCAGAGAGGCAAAAGGTGACATCAAAACAGATGAAGGAAAGTGAGTATATAGCCATCCTGCTTGTCCCTATTGAGTTCTGTGTCCCTGACTGACGAGGTCCTGCATCCTCAGCTGTCGACCGTCGTGACGTTCAAGCTGAAGAACGCCGCCGGGGAGCCTGAGGCGTGCACGGTGGTTCCCGTGACCCTCGTGTAGCGTGGCTGCCTGACCCGCCGCCGGGCCTTCTGCAGGACCAGTCGACTCGGGGCCGAGCGCCTCCAGAGCACATGAACACAGTGAACAACTTTCGTTACCAATAAAGATAATTTGCCATGACCGTTTTTTTCTTTCTTTCTTTACATCAATGCTTAAGACAGAGATGAAGGGAATAGACAAATAATTCGAGAAAATTTCAACGATGCATGTAATGTATCAAGTATCTTAAAGACTAAAGGGATAAAATAAATAAACGTAAAATGGAAAAAGATAAACACATAAGTGAAGAGATAAAGGTAAAGCATTTGATGTTCAAATTTCCAGGGAAATCTCTCTCTTCTTCCGCTTCCTCCAAAAGACGCCGTCGATGACCCTCATTTCCTGTCCTCCGTCTCTGCCATGTTTCCATTCGCGAAGCTCTCAGTGTCTGATTTCATGAAGCTGTCATGAAGGACCTGTTAAGCAGTAAAGGATTTTTGGTCATGTCTTTTTATTCACATATAGAAACTCCTTTTTAACTGAATGATTACAGCCCAAAATATAGCAAAATTGCGATTTTTAGTCATCTTTGTCGATTTCTGCAATTCGCATCCCCCCCCCCCCTAAGTTTTATATTGATGGCATAAAAAACGTGACAGAACAGACCTCTCGGTAAGCACATAACTTTCTTTATAATTCCTGTCCTCTTTTTGGCATTTTTTTTTCAAATCTTTGTGTGAACTCGACTACGATGAACTCCATTATGAACTAGAATTACTGGTATAGGCCTATATTTGATGTTTTCGCTAGGTCTTTACTTAACTATAGTTGTATTAAGAATTCACAAAATAAATTATCACGGCCTAACCATGTTATTGTAAAAACTATTTTAAGTTGATGTAGGAAATAGACAGGTCCTATACCAGCAAAATTAGAAAACTTTTCCAGTCAAAGTTCTGGAAACGGGTTTGGGATCCTAAGGCATAAAAGAATCGAATTTCATTTGCGGACTTTTGATTTTTTATTTATTTTTTTCAAAATGACGACTCAGATGTAAATGTTTAATATAACTATATTATATATATTATATATAATATATATATATATATAATATATATATATAATATATATATATCTGTTTGTGTATGTGTGTGTATGTATGTGTGTGTATGATATTATATATATATCTATATATATATATATATATATATATATATATATAAACATATATAAGAACTAAAGAGGAAATAATAAAGGTTTTGAAATGTTTGATACATGTTTCTTTGGGATTAAGATCGGGCGATTTGGGCGGATGTGGCACAGTGTCATCTCGTGGAAACCCTTCTCTTTGTGGCGGTTTCGAAGTCACTC